CCCAAGTTTTACCTATTGATAAATTGATTTACATAAAAACAGAGGCCAGAATATTGTTATTTATATATATATATGTAGAGCTCTGGTCGAAATGGAATCTGCTGTTGACATGTCGAAGCCCAAGGTCGACGACAGTATCGACTGTCGGAATTAAATCTCCACAAAAAATCGGCAAAGAAAAAAATCAAAAATAGTTAATTTACATTTTGCTTCCAGTAAAAAATGAGCATACATTGTCTATCCCGACCCCTCGCATGTACTGTATATTGATATTATAGATTAATATGCATATATACGTATGTATGTTAGAGATCGAGAAGTAAATAAACAAACTTTGAATACGAACCTCCATTGTTATTCTTCTGCTACTTACACTTCCGGTGAATCCGGCTCGTCCCGTTGCAGCACTTCGAATAGCCCAGTAGCCATGCAAGCCAAAGCCACACACGGATCTCAATTTTCAATACAACAATACATACGTTTACTAACATATCAATTGTAATTCTAGTTAAAACTTTGTAAGAATATCAACGAAATTGAATAAAATGACTTACCGTTCCGATCATAGGCCCATACAGACGACTTCTCAAGATCGAAAACGAGACGAGATGTGAAACGAGAAGATAAAAATAAAATGGGGAAAAACACAATATTTAAATTCGCTGTAAATTCTGTTAGGAGTGATAAAAGTATGTTGGGAAATTAAGGTATGTTCTTTGTTTATCATCGTATTATTTCTATGTCGACCTTGGACGCTTATGTTGATGTCGAAGTGACATTTCGATCGCCAATAGACGATTCCGACAAATGATCAGAGCTCTACATAAGACAGAGCTGTGAATTTGAAAACCATCATAAGAAAATGTTTGTTTCAGACTCTGAACTCAAAGGTTGAACATATCATAGACTCCACTAATGAAAAGATCAAGAACATTTCGCAGGAGTTTGAGAAAATATCCGAAAAGAAAGACTGGTATGAACAAGCTCTACATACCATGCAGGAAAATCTAACTGACTCTACAAATTGTCAGAATGCACTAAGGGACTATAGGTAAGGCCTGTTTTAAACTTGTTAGCAACTCCTATTAAAATATCAGGTTACATCCACACTTTAACATGGCAGAGAAACTCTGGATTAGTAATTAATTAATATGATTAACAACATTGCTTGATACTTGATTTTGACTGACTAAGCTTGTGGGTAATTAAATTTGAAAAATGTTGTTACTGCTTTTAATTGCAACCCAACAAAATGATTTTGTGAAAATGTCAAAAATTCTGTTATTTTGGCTGTTCCATCAATCTGCCTCTTATTTATACCCCCAATGTCCCTTTTTAAGGTACAAGTCTTTCAAGCTTTAATAGAGACGATCTAAGTTATTTGGAATATGTATACGCAAAGTTGTACTTGTACAAGTCAGGTATAACACTGGGGAGGAACTCTGGAAACAAAGATAGGTTAATTTCATCCTTCAAATCACAACAAAATATTTGGCAAGTATGTAAATCGTGAGTTCCGGTTTCAAAATATGATTGCATCTTAGAAATTAATTCTCCTATTGCTGGGATATTCACAAATCAATTCCTTCGTAAATAGGAAACAAGGAAATTTTTTCTAATGAAATGTATTTTCCTGGTTTCTTTGAGAAACCTCTCTCCCCAGTGGTGTATACGGAAAGGTTTATTTCCAAGTCTATTGATACATCAATATGAGCTACAGGCCCGTAGCCAGGGCCAAAAATTATTTCAAAATAATGCAGTTTTTCACCATTTTGAGAACTTCTCAAGTGATTTTAGCCATATTTGGGAAATGTAGCATTAAGAACACAACTTGCAATGGCCTTCTAGTTTAGCTGTATTTCTTTATATTTGTAGGGATGCAATGTCTGTGCAATTAGACGACCTTGAAGACACAGTTAAGATGCTAAAAGAGGAAAAGTTTGACGATGAGGAGACAATTAGGTAAATATGAATTTTTCTAATTAAATGGGACTACCAGGGATTTATTAACAGAAACTTTGTAAAAGTTAAGAATTTGTAAACCCATTGTTCCCTTACTTAATTGTCATCATATTCATAGTAACAACAATTGCTATTGTTGTTCCTAAGTTACTTTACGAAGTTTCTGGTTATAAATGAACCCCAGGTTAATATTTCGATATTGTCTCAAAAAAATATCATATTTCAGATTGCCTTTCAAGAATTGATGTTCATTTGGGTGGATTATTCTACTGCAGCCAAAATGATAAATGCAATTATTCAATAAATCAAATATAAAATACCAAATAATAGTCATAGCTTACTTGTTTTAATATTTTATTAAGTCTGATAATGGTCCATTTGCTCAAATGCCGTACAAATATTTTGCATTTTTATTTTCCAATTGTTATCCAAGACATAAAAAATAAAACTCCAGATTGGGAGATATTGGAGAGACTCCGGGAGATAAACCCATCTCTAAGATAAACTGACAAATCAACCTTGTCCAAAGTGGCAAATCACTTTTATGATATCCTTCACTTAAACAGTTACAATTTCATAAACATCTAAAACTGAGTATACATGATATAATAGATACGATATTGTAATATTGGTAAGCTTTTACTAAAATATGGCATAATGTCGCTTATACCATGGTCAGAACAATATTAGCAAGTGGTGAAAGGTGAGCTGTTGCAACAGGCTTTATTTCCCCTGTTACCTGTAGGAATCCTTTCATATTTTCACATGTTGTAGAGCACCCTATGTATAGTCTGTCACGTGACCTTATGTATGATGGGTGGGGTCTTTCCACTTCAGGTTTATAATGTAACTTTTAACATGGTTTTAGGCTTTGTATCTCTGTGAAACTTGTCCCGTATCATCAATGTCTAAAGACGATTTAATTCTCCAAATATCCCTTTCATGCGATTCCTGGTTAAAGAGAAATTCACACTTTTGTGTCTCGGAAAATGATGTGCTGCTAGCGCATCGTTAAATACAGACCTTCCCAGGCAGAATATTGTCTGTTTTTCACTCATATCATTGAATAATTTCGAGCATCTTGGTTACCACCATCAGGATGGATTGCATATCAAGCCTAATATCAGTCCCGAGTATATATTATTCACAGGAAAATTCTCCCGAGGCTTCAAATTGTTTTCACATTCAGATTACATTCCAGGTGACTCACATTAGCACTGTTTTTAGTAACCAATTTCAACAGTTATATACACAAATACATGAAATACGTTAATATTTCCCAAGATTAAGTTATTGTTTTCTCAATTATAACAGAAGATTTTTGAGGTAGACATTTTTGAGGTAGACATTTTTGAGGTACATCTTGACCATGATATATAAAGCTTGTTATTCACTCAACGAGATGATAACATAGGAATATCCTATGGTTTTTAAAAAATATCATTTATATCCATGAGACCATTAAAAAGTGATATATGATGGTTTCAAAAGTGATATTCAATGGTTTGGAATTTTTTTGCCAAAATATGATATCTTGACCCACATATCAAATATATCTTCACATGATATTCAATCTGTATCTTTGCAACCCTATGATAAATAAGGGAGGTTTTGGATATGGGGTTTATCTAGAGGGAGATATGCATATTTACCTGAGGGACCGCAGGGACCGAAGGTAGATGTGCATATCTCACGAGGTATAAACTCCATATCCAAACCAACCGTACATAACTGCTTTATCCTATAACCAGTAGTATAGAGTTTTCTCTTTTTTTAATTTTGTCAATTTTTTTTTCAAGATTTTTTTTCAAAATTGTTTTTCAAATTTATTTTCAACAATTCTTTTTTCAAATTTTTTTTCAAAATGAAAAGATATGCCCTGGAGCAGGAGATATGGAGGTTCTGGATATGGAAACCTCAAAATCAGGATATGGGATATATCTTATAAACGTATTTCCCTAAAACTCTACTGGGCAAAGGATAATGGTTTTTATCCCATGATATTACTACTTCCCGGTAAATAACACCCAGGAATAATTTTGATATTGAAAAAAATTGTTGTATAGTCCCGCCTAATCTCGCTCAAGAAAATGGTATTCACCTCCCGGGAATTTTTGATAAACAGAGCTTCCTATTTCGTTCAGTTGAGCGTGCTATAATGATGTCCTAATGTGAGAAACATATTTTCCAAACAACGTAACCCTACTATCACACCAAACTAGTTCTCACTGCGTTCTCGAAAACGGGCATAAACTGTGCACGAACAGATTTGACGTACTAAGAACCCACTAAGAACCGTTTGGAATCTGTTTACAAACTTCATGAAACTACTAGAACGAGTAGGTCCTCCAGCACTTAGAGCATGCTCAAAATTTTCTGGTGATCGTCAAAACGTTGCCGAATCGGTTTTAAACTGTGTGCGAACTGAATGAACGTTCTACGGTCTGTTTAAGAACTTCATGGAATTTCCCGGACGGGGTATGTGATTTAGAATTTTGAATCGATTCAAAATTCGATGCGACCATACTGTTCTGTAATCAGGTCATGATGGCCTTCTAGACTAAGGAACGGTTTATACTACGTTGCACACCGACGTGGTGCGACCTGAACGAACTGCGAATGAGATGGACGTATTGAAGTCTGTTTATGAACGAAGTAGCTAATTATTTTAGACATATATCCCGACCACAGCCAGATTGAGCCCGTTTTACGACATTTTCGTAGGACTGGCAAGAACGGGTAAGAACTAGTTTGGTGTGATAGGGGGGTAAGGAGAATGAAGCTATAAAAGCTTATTATACAAATAGAAGGCGAGTTGTACCTTCATCGTCATGCTCTGACACAGTCAGCGTCATAGAAATTTGAGCAATACAAGTGAACGCCCTGATGAACTTGTACACCATATTGTTGATATTTTGGTTTTGATGTTTTAAGTTAATGTTATACGATAATTTTTTATGTTTTAAAATGTCATTAAGTTAAGTCATATTTTGTAGACTAAATAATATAGCCTGGTTTTGTTTCATATAAAAATCAGATACGGATATTGAACTTATGATTTTATGGAGAGAGTTCTGGATATCATGGGATAAAAAGCTTATTTACTGGTTGGTTTCAATATGGGTTCCTTGGAATAAAACCCATATTGAATCCCTCCAAGTAAATAACCTCTATGTATTCCTTGAAAAATATTGATATTATCCTTGCAGTATTCCCCTTTTAAAATCCGTTCTAGTTGTGATGTAATGTTATACATCAAAAGAACATTTCGACCCTACTTTGACCTATTTTTCTTTCAGAAATGATCTAGATAAATGTCATTTAGTATCTTTTTGATTTATTGTCCAAATTTTTCTGTTGCAAGTTTCTTCAAGCCATTACGATCAATCTTTCCATTCATAAGTGTAGGTATCTCATCTAACATGAGGAAATACCTCGGTGCACTGTTCAGACCATCCGCTGTGAAGTCTCCAAACACTTCAGCACACCATTCTTTGATTTCTGCCTCAGTTAGCATCTGTCCATCTTTGACCTTGATACATGCGCAGAGTTCCTCAAAAAGTCGAGGGTCAGGAACACCAACTACTTGGACTTGATGGATGCTCGGGTGCTCAACGAGTATATTTTCTATCTTACTTGGTCGAACAATAACGGTACCCCGTTTGATGAATTCCTTAAGGCGGCCCACGATTGTGACATAACCATATTTGGTTAGAGTGCCAATGTCCCCTGTGTGGAGCCAACCATATTGATCGATCACTTCTCTTGTTTTCTCCTCATCGTTAAAGTAGCCATGGAATATATTTGGTCCCCTGGTGCATATTTCCCCCTGGGTATCAATAGGTACAATCTTGTTATCTTTATCTCTTATGCTGATCTCAACATGGGCAACCCCGTATCCAACAGTTAAATGCTGCTTGGTGAAGTCAGCATGGGGAAACATACAGGTAATCCCTCCACCTTCTGTCATACCTAAAAAATACAACATTATGAGATACATTGAATAGATATATAGTGTCTGTTACACATGAACGGACTTTGTTCGCTTAAGATAGAGATTTTACTAACAGTGCTTTAACCCATTTCAAGAACTTTACTATTTGGTTGGAATATCACACACATACATACCATAGCCAATAGTCACTCCAACACCTAATATTGTTTTGACACTCTCAATGAGAACTGGATCTATTCTCTGGCCTCCTGTGAGTATCACCTTTAATGAGGAAATGCTATATTTCTTGCGCTCTTCAGTTTCCATGTTTATAACATCATACATTAGATACGGCATTAAAAGAGCAATGTTTACTTTCTCATCCCGGATAAGCTGTAAGATGGTCTCTGGCCCAGAATTCTTCACTGTTTGTTTCACATCGATTGTTACTATTGTGTACTCATTTGCTAAGGCAAATGCAAATGACACTGCACCCCCTGCCCAGGACATTGGACGATCATTGAACATAATGGTGCCTTTGGAATGAGCTGTCCTGAGACCGAAGCAACGAGCCATGTGAATAATGACTCTATTGGGCATTGGGCAGTACTTAGGCTTTCCCGTGCTTCCTGAAGTAAGGCCAATCCACACAGCATCATCCATAGAGATATTGGCATTTCTCAATAGTATTCCTGATTTCTTCTCATCAGATGTCTCCTTCAGTAAATCATTGAAATCGATAGCACCCTTTAGAACATCATCCGTGATCAGAATTATGTGTTTCAGGGAAGGCATCGCATCATCACATTCATCGTTTAATACTTTCCCGAATAGTTTCAGCACAAGATCTCTTTGAGCTTCATCCCCAATGTGTAATATGATCACCTTGATTTCAGTGTCCTTGATTTAACCTCTATGTCTTTCCCGCTTTTAAGGTCGTATGTCAGGAATACTGGTAGCGCACCACAATGTATTAACCCTCCAACAGTGATCACGACTTCTTCACAGTTGGGTATGATCACACCAACTTTATCACGAGGGTTCACGCCCAATTCTGCCATTGATACAGCGAAGTTCTCCGACATAGCCACCCATCTTTTAAATGTGATGCTGCTCTTGTGAGATGCGTCAGGATTCATGAATACAAATGCCTCTTGTTCGCTGTCCTTCAAATTGCGCATCAAGTCATACATGGTGTCAGATGTAATTGCATGGTTAGATGCAACGTGGATATAGCTTTTCTCTAATGGTTCCTTTATAGGCTCCACATCAGCTCCAGTCACCTCTATGTATTCCATGTTTGTATCTAGAAAGAATTATTGCCTATGTAACATTTACCATTAAGTTAAATAAAGGGGCAGGTACATTATTGCAACCTTTTTTAGAAAGCTCTTACTTAAGTTCAAATAATTATTTGACCACAAAGACAAATGCGTTTGTTTGGGCAATATGTCATCTTCAATAAGGGGCTATAGAATGAAAGTAAAGTCGGACGGATTATCTCTTAAGCTGTCATTAATTGCACAGAAAGTTTATATTATGGATCCCATAGGTCAGAATTCAAGAAACAATCCATAAAGTATGTATGGATAACCTATCAATTTCAGCATTAAGAAGTTGAAATTCATTTCAAAGCTTCAAAAAGGGGAAATCCACTTATATATTTTTAAGATCCACCATGTTTCAAGTAAAGAGATCAGCTGAAATAATGTTTATCGGGGGGGGGGGGGTTTCTTAGTTAATAGATAATAAAAATAGATGTAAATCTTGATTAAATATCCAAACTTAAATATATTTTGACACTGATCTATGATTGTTGCACTTATTGTTGCACCTTTAACCGCTGCCAACAATTTATTTAGTCAATGTTTATCTAATAGAGACATAAGTATCAAAATACTAATACACATTGTTAAAATTATGTCAGTTTAAATAAATAAATAATAAATTACCTCGTTGTATGCTCCGTTTTATAAGGTACCTGGTAGTTCACTAGCTGGGTGAATGTATTATAGTATTATCTTAAACATGTCAATAAGAGGTCAAAATGATGAGTTATATTTAAAGAGTAGCTACTTGATCTCTCAACTGTCTGCTTGTTCATGTGGTATATCACTTGTCATGTTCTAAAGTTGATAAGTACTGTAAATCAATTGTTATCGATTAAATGTCAATACAATTTATGTGCAGTTATTCACATGTAAAAGTATTTGAACTCAAAAATCACTGAGTCACCTTATGTGAAGAGATTTTCTAACTATGTGAAAACAGTGAAACCTGTGAAGTGTCAACACCTAGGTCCTAGAAGTGGAACACCTCACAAGTGGAAAACTTTTTAGAGGTACCAAAGGTGTTCCACTTAGACATGTTTTACTGTAAGTTGTGGAGAATTTCATATAAACTTACTTAAACTCACATCCCAGTTTATAGATTGAGTTAAAATGTTATAGGCTAATGTCTAATGCATAGCTTACCTCAGCTGTGAAGGAATTTCCCAAATAGCCAACTGCTTTCAAAATGAAAAATGCAATTTTTTATCAGTTTTGTCCAGGTTTTATAATTTAATACATGAGTCTGTAACATTGCTGTAGATTTTCCTGTCTTTCTATTGCTTTTCTTTTGTTTTAGGCATTTGAAAGGAGAATTGTTTGCCGTCAGTGATCTCCTTAAGCAAAGAGAAGAGGAAATGGAAGAATTACTCAAGTAAGATTTATTTCAAATGATTCATTACAGTGATCCCCCTTGCATTAAAGCAAGTAAGGGCAGCACCCAGCTGCGATTTGATATTTGACTTGCACCCACCTGAGAATCCATTTGCACTCACTTGAAAATGAGAAAAATCATGAAAAATAGGCATATTTTGACCTATTTTGTCTGAATTGTGAAAATGAGAATTATTTACACCCACTTGGGAAAAAATCATTTGGAGATCACCGGATTAGTTTAAAAAACTTAATGATTTAAAAACGTAGATACAGTGATCTTGCCAGCATTTGAACAATAGACTATTATGATTACTGTACCTTTATTCTCAAAATGCCTCAATTGAAAATGTAAAAGCACCCAGTGTAAACATTTCTGAAAAAAAATGGACAGTTTTGGGTAGAATTAAAGCAGATATGAAATGGTATTTTTGACCTTAAGCAATCAATAGAATTTTTTGATAAATGTATTTGGACATGTTTTCTCATAAGTATTGTAAAAATTATTTCACTCTAACGATCATTATAGCTGCTTAATAAGCAATATTCAAATACATTGTGACGTTATTGGCCCCCACGTGATCTCTCACTGGTCCCCACGTGTCCCGTTTTGGTCCATTAAATCATGTCGTCATAATGCCAAGATGTTCTGGTATTTGTTTACACAACAATCATATAGTTGCCGTGACGTTGTGATTACCAAGGAACCAATAAACCAAAACTATATATTATGTATGACATTACTAATCACGTGGGAGCCAATCGGATTGATCAGTTCATTTTATTACGTTATTTATAACCATGAACAGTTATTCTAACATTTCTTTTATAATGGCTATCGCAAGAACTCTTTGTTGGGCTTACAATGAAGAAAAACGCATTTTTGTAGATGCAAGTTGAGAAAACCTCTTTCAGCTGAAAAATTGGTTAAAAGAAAGAAACCAGTAAAAATAAATTTGTGCAACACTTAGCCTACTGTGTACTTGCTTTCTATATATCTCCTTTTATTTTACAATCATCTCGTACTTTGACCTCAGTGACAAGAAATAGGTAGTCCTTGTTAACATGATGATAAAATGTCAAATAAACGGTGTCACCTTAATTTATCTCAGTTGTTATTTCATTGTTCAAATAACATGTTTACAGGGAAACCTGTATTATCTGATTTGAATATGTCATTGGGACTCACTGGCTAAAGTTTTTTGATAAACATGTTCACATTTGGAGGTTTTGAAATTGCAGGATTCAGGTTTTTATCATACCTAAAAAATTTACGATATTGTTATGTCACCACCAAAAGTGGTGACATATTGTTATGGTCTCCGTTTTTTTTGCGACGGCGGTTGGCGTCCGGCGTCTGGCGTCCGGCGTCTGTAACAATTTCTTACAACTTCCTATAACTTAACAAATACTGTTTAGACGCTGACTTCAATTTTTTTCTAAATCATCTACATGTTCTCAGAAGTTTAAATCTGACTTTAGATTTGACATTTGACCTTCAATGACCTTCTCAAGGTCAAAAAGGTCTTTTTTCAACTTGCTTCACATTGACTAATTTTTTTTTCAAAATCATCTACATGTTCTCAGAAATTCAAATCTGACTTTAGATTTGACTTTTGACCTTCAAATCTGACTTTAGATTTGACATTTGACCTTCAATGACCTTCTCAAGGTCAAAAAGGTCTGTTTTCAACTTGCTTCAAATTGACTAAAAAAAATTTCAAAATCATCTATGTGTTCTCAGAAATTCAAATCTGACTTAAGATTTGACATTTGACCTTCAATGACCTTCTCAACGTCAAAAAAGGTCAAAAAGGTCTGTTTTCAACTTGCTTCAAATTGACTAAAAAAATTTTCAAAATCATCTACGTGTTCTCAGAAATTCAAATCTGACTTTAGATTTGACTTGAGATTTGACATTTGACCTTCAATGACCTTCTCAAAGTCAAAAAAGGTCAAAAAGGTCTTTTTTCAACTTGCTTCAAATTGACTAAATTTTCTTTTCAAAATCATCTACATGTTCTCAGAAATTCAAATCTGACTTTAGATTTGACATTTGACCTTCAATGACCTTCTCAATGTCAAAAAAGGTCAAAAAGGTATTTTTTCATCTTGCTTCAAATTGACTAAATTTTTTTTCAAAATCATCTACATGTTCTCAGAAATTCAAATATGACTTTAGATTTGACTTTAGATTTGACATTTGACCTTCAATGACCTTCTCAAGGTAAAAAAGGTCAAAAAGGTCTATTTTCAACTTGCTTCAAATTGACTAATTTTTTTTTCAAAATCATCTACATGTTCTCAGAAATTCAAATCTGACTTTAGATTTGACATTTGACCTTTAATGACCTTCTCAAGGTCAAAAAAGGTCAAAAAGGTCTGTTTTCAACTTGCTTCAAATTGACCAAATTTTTTATTCATTTCAAGATTCGCTACAAATTCTCAGAAGTTGACTAAGATTAGAACTCATAATACTGTTAACAACGAGGTGGTGACATTTTGTCACGTTAGTGCCTTGTTATCAGTTTGTTAAAGAAATGTGAGCGCTCTAAATAAATCTTTAAAAGTTTGATTGACCTAAACATTGGCATACCAATAATATGAATGTACAAAACCATCTCATTCAGATTAATTCATTACTAAAGAAAAAGCCAAATTACGATTAACACCTTTCATGGAAAAATGTTTGATCTTAAAAACTGACATAAAAACAGCATAGTATTGAAGCAATTCTGTATCATATTCTGAAAAAATGATCACATTGGATAGGCTTTACTTAACATTGAGGTCAAGGTTGGGGAAATGGGACTGAAAAAGTGTTCTCATTGGAAGCTGTTCAGATTTGAGAGGTGTTCGAATACACAGATTTTATTGTTAGTACCTCAGTGTGAATACTCGCATCTGATTGGTCAATTAGCGGTCAACATTTTTGCCTGTACCCCTCCTGTGCATCATGGGATATCATATTGTTGACCGCATTTGTTACTGTACTACACTTGTGAATTATGGGAATGTGACGTCATAATGTTTAAAGAAATACATGGCAGCCTGACGTTTTTATTGATGAATGTGATATTAATATTCAGACTTTACTAGACAATAAGGATAGCCAAAATACAAAGAGAACATAGAATTAACATTAACTATACTTAATGAGTATGCAGTGAAGTGCTGAAAATAGAGAATTTAGCTACCCCTTTTTTATTCAGATATTCGATTCGAACCGGAGAAAAAATAGTGAAATGTACAAAATAAGACTTTAAATGCTAAAATGGGGCATTGCACGAACAATTCGCAGGTTAAAAAGTAGATAAGGTTACCCCGCGAACACTTGAAATAATCAAACAATATTTTCATTGATCGATGATTGTCGTCTACAGGTGTGTTATTAGTTTCTTCTGACTAACAAAACAATTGTACATCTCTTCATTCGGTCAACCGACAAAATCATATACCTCGACTGTAAACCTTGAAACTACTGTTGACCTCGACCTTCGGTCTCTGTCAACAGTAGTTTCTCAGTTTACAGTCTCAGTATACAATTTTGCCGGTTGACCTCTGGAGAGGTCAACAATTGTATACTGTATATTTCATTCAAGGAATGTTGTTGATAGTATCGTTTAACCATAAAGAAGAGCCAGTGTACATGTGAATATGCAAGGATAAAAAACTATTTAAAGATGTAATAAAATGGATCAGAATCTCTTATTAGCTTGAACTTAGCACATATAACTATGACCTCATATCCTTTTTACCAGGCACTGCACCAAGTTGGATGTCACTGTGAAATCAGTTCCTAATGCACTGGTCACATTTGCTCCGATTTTCACTACGACGCCCAGCTGATTGAGCATTTTGTTCAAAATTGAATACAATATTGAACAAAACACTCAATCAGCCAGGCGCTGGCAGATTGATCGGAGCAAATGTGACCCAGGCATTAGTGTACTACTCTGTGCATTTCCATACATATGAGTAGCTCGATAAACTTTTGTAGGTTATTTCTTTCATTATATTTTAATTTCATATGCATTTGTTCACAATGGTAGGGATACCAGTTAAGAGGAAGGGGTCTGAGAAATTGATGTTTTTTACCCAAATCCTTATTAGTATGTATATATTTGCAGACATGAACAAGTGCTCAATGAGAATATTGTGAACCTGTCCAACAAGTGCCAGGTGTTTGAAAGCAACCTGAGTGAGTATGCATTTAATTCATTCCTGGCAAGGCTTTAAGAGATTTAGCTTAACTACACATTTTTAACACATTTTCTACACATGTGGAATTATGGTGTTCATAA